TTTGGCACAGTAAATAAAGTTAGACTTTCAAGAAGTAAAAAGGTAGGTGACTCAGATCTTAGAAAAGAAGTAAAAAAGGTAATGAATCAGGTGTGGGATGGGGGGGGGGGCAGGGGGGGAGACTCCCATGTGATAGGGTTGGGGATGCTTGTTGGAAAATTTGAATGAAACCTGGAAGGAGAGCAATCTGGACATGGTTTAAACTTTATATGTTATTTAATGATGGTAAACACATTATTGTAATTTGTTATTCAGGCTTCCTTGGGAAAGCCAAGTCATAAAATGGAAGCTGTTTTGTCTTGGTCGCCAAGAGCGGGGTGAGGGGGTCATGGTACCAGGTGTTCCTAGTGTGGAGAGTGGAAATTGGGGATGAGAATACGACAGCTTTATTGTGTGCTTGGTCTTTGTGAACAATGTTAATGTACAGAATGCTGTGTTTTGTGAAGAAAAGTTTTGGAAAGAATCACGCATTATATGTTCATCTCATATACAAATACGTCAATCGTTTTTGATACGGGTCGGTCCACAAATTATATTGCTTGAAAGCCTGCCAAATAAGCAAAGTTCACGCTCATTCTCAGGATATAAAAAATGAGCCATGTACGAATTCAAACTACGAAAACACTGCCAAAAAGCTATGACTACTGACTTAAAAACAAACCATGATGCTGAGATGAACACCTCAGATGTTGAAAAAATCAAGAATCATCGTTAACAGAACTTCAAAGATGAGACAAACAACATGCAACTCGATAAGGAGGATAATCAATGAAGCAACTTGAATAGTAAATATCTAGGCATAACGTTTGTGTTAAAATATCCTGATTCTTTTATGTTTTTATTGTGTTCAATAAGCTTACTTGTAACATATGATTTGATATTGAGGCACGCAGCTTGGGTAAAGGTTCTTAGAGTGTCCACTTGGGTATGTTTTTCTGTAAACAGATTTTAAAAGTATGACAGCATATTTTATTATTTCTTTATGTGCAACTCAACTACCCTTGACTGCTAAAGACGGACGCATTTCATGATTGCCAACTCTAAGAGATGAGGAGCATCCCAACCCTTCACCTGCATGTAGTCCCCCCGCCAAATCCCTGGAATTAGCTATCCATGATAGGAGTTTGTTCATCCAGTTATAAAGCTAAACTTCACAGTTACAATCTTTTCGTCTTTACAAAAAATGACATATTTTTTCATTTATATTAAGAGCAAAGAACATTCACTGCATTACGTTTGTTGCCTTGTAACAGTCTATTTCATCTATCTGGCTCACATGTAATTTTTTTGCCTGTGAAAAACTTGCGAGCAGTTTTTGCCACTCCCAAATTAGTTGCAAATTAAGAAACCTGTTCAGTTTCAATTTTTTGTTGTTGTACAGCATAATTTTTAAATTTCTAATTTCTAATTTTCATTTATTCATATCATTCTTGACAGTGTTACATGCATTTTGCTGAGGACTTTAATTTGACATTAATGTTTCCCGTAAGGGAGGGGACCCATACTTTCCTAGATTACTCAACATAAAAATGTTCAGTGTAACCACAACCCCTTTCTTCCTGGCGCTGTTTCTTCATGATACATAAAGAAAGAAGGTTATGAAATTAGGAATGTCAACTTGCATTCATTTGACGCAACACCAACTTCCCAAAACTGACATTGAAAGAGAGTTGTTGCAGTCAGTAAGGAGAATTGAAATTTTAAGCTTGGGACTTAACAAATTTTGAAGACACTTATTTCTCTGTTTTTTTTTTTCTAAACAGACTGCAAGATCAAAAGGTTATGCTTTTGTGGAGTTTGCCTCTGATGAAGTTGCCAAAATTGTGGCTGAAACTATGCACAATTACATGATGTTCGGAAGATTATTAAAATGTGAGTATGGAGAACCAAAGAAAACTCCTTGTAACCACTTTTAAATGGATATTCATGAGCCAGGTGTACATCATTTTACACACACGTTCATTCATGCAAGGTAGGTTGACCAGCCATGTGTAGGGCAGGAAAAAAAGAAAAATTCTACCTTGCAATAAATTTTGAACCAACAGAATTCAATGGACCTTTTTACCATTGTCATGCTTTTCTCAATTTTTTCATTCAAACAAAAAGTACAGTAAGCCTCACTGATTGATTTATCATGCCAAATTTGGTAAATGTGAGAATTTTCATAAGAATCCATACCAAACTTGTAAAAAATGTGGGACCCCAAACCTGGCCCCTGTTAGACATTTCTTAGTAAAAATTGGCAAGATTGGAGTCCTGTATTTTCATGGGTTTGCAACAGATTCTTTTGAAACTTCGCACATTTCCTTAATTTTTGTTTATTTGGAAAAATTGTTGGTATTGCTTAAAAAGGTCCTTCAGTATTTCTACCATTTTCTTTTTTTACAGGCAAAGTTATCCCAAATGACAGAGTCCATCCCANAAGAAACCTGTTCAGTTTCAATTTTTTGTTGTTGTACAGCATAATTTTTAAATTTCTAATTTCTAATTTTTATTTATTCATATCATTCTTGACAGTGTTACATGCATTTTGTTGAGGACTTTAATTTGACATGAATGTTTCCCGTAAGGGAGGGGACCCATACTTTCCTAGATTACTCAACATAAAAATGTTCAGTTTAACCACAACCCCTTTCTTCCTGGCGCTGTTTCTTCATGATACATGAAGAAAGGTTATGAAATTGGGAATGTCAACTTGCATTCATTTGACGCAACACCAGCTTCCCAAAACTGACATTGAAAGGGAGTTGTTGCAGTCAGTAAGGAGAATTGAAATTTTAAACTTGGGACTTAACAAATTTTGAAGACACTTATTCCTCTGTTTTTTTTTTCTAAACAGACTGCAAGATCAAAAGGTTATGCTTTTGTGGAGTTTGCCTCTGATGAAGTTGCCAAAATTGTGGCTGAAACTATGCACAATTACATGATGTTCGGAAGATTATTAAAATGTGAGTATGGAGAACCAAAGAAAACTCCTTGTAACCACTTTTAAATGGATATTCATGAGCCAGGTGTACATCATTTTACACACACGTTCATTCATGCAAGGTAGGTTGACCAGCCATGTGTAGGGCAGGAAAAAAAGAAAAATTCTACCTTGCAATAAATTTTGAACCAACAGAATTCAATGGACCTTTTTACCATTGTCATGCTTTTCTCAATTTTTTCATTCAAACAAAAAGTACAGTAAGCCTCACTGATTGATTTATCATGCCAAATTTGGTAAATGTGAGAATTTTCATAAGAATCCATACCAAACTTGTAAAAAATGTGGGACCCCAAACCTGGCCCCTGTTAGACATTTCTTAGTAAAAATTGGCAAGATTGGAGTCCTGTATTTTCATGGGTTTGCAACAGATTCTTTTGAAACTTCGCACATTTCCTTAATTTTTGTTTATTTGGAAAAATTGTTGGTATTGCTTAAAAAGGTCCTTCAGTATTTCTACC